TTCCAGCCATAAAATCCCGGCTGAACAGACACTTGGTCTCCAGAGACACCTCCCACAACGATGCTTTTCATTTTCAGTCCGGGTAGTTGGTTGCCAATTTGAACAGTGCTCTGTTGAGGAAAAGGACAATCGATAAGAAGCACTATCACCCTCTGCGACACAGATTGCCTACTTTCTGCAGTGATAGAGTCAAGCAGTAGCTGACAGTAGATTACAGAAAAAATATCAAAGGAGAGTGGAGCTAGACATCTGAATGTGGCTTTTTACAGACTTGTTCATAAGATATCGTATCATTAAGCTTAATAAATTAATATAACTGCATCAGGCACAAATCACTGCAGAACACGGCTCACAGAATAAGTGTTTGTCCACACTCCTTTATCCTGCTTTCTCCTAAAAACAATTCTGTAGTGCTTAGTGGCAAAGTTATGATGCTGCCTTACCTGGTACATCCCATAGTCCAAGGACATGACAGCGAGGTACTTGATGTCTTTACCATCTTTAGAACTCTTCAGCTCTATTAATAAATGATGCCATTCCCCATCACTGACTCGCAACTGGCTCATCTTTAAACTAGCAACCTGGCTCAGGCCACTGTACACTTCAAAGTGCACGTAGCTGTTCAGTATCTGTTGAAAAAATGAATCATGTCTATTTTTTGCTACATATTTGTAATTGATGCGAAAGGGGACAGAGTGCAAGACAATAACATCTCCTAAGACAACCCAAAAGGGAAAAAAGCCCAAACAGTAACGAAGGGAACACTTGCAATAACTCCGTATAACTTTGGACATTCAGACTGTAACTTACCCTACTGACAAAAGAACCCCAAAACAATCAAGAGATACATTTTTTGCATCTATATTAATGCACACTACTATCTCTGCTTAAAAAAAATAATCTTAAACCAACAAATCCAAATTTTACAATGATCTTTTGACCTTTGTAAAAGGCTGAAGAAATAATTTGTATTTATTGATGTGCATTTGGCTGGGTGGACAAACCTATGCAGTTCATGTGGCCATATCTACTGAAAGGGGAGAATTTTTTAATTCTTTTCTAACCAAAAGCAGACATATTTTTACCTGAATGTTGATCTTGGATGCAGCCCCAGCATTGGCTTGCATTAACATGCCATTGACTTTCCGGGTTCTGAACATCAGCCCAAGGTACCACGGCACAGAAATGGTAATGTCAAGGTCACTCCAAATGATAATGCCTTCACCAGTGAAACGCTGAGGAGAAGGCATTGCTGTAAATCAAAAGACAGAAGAGAAACAGTTGATATCTTTCAGGACAAAGGCTAAGAGGAGAGATGACGCTATGTCGCAGTGATGGCGCAAGGTAGCTAGTCCCTGTTCCACTGAGCTATTTTTAATCTGCTATGGACTAAGAGCCGGTCTAGGGGAATTACTAGGAAGCAGCTGATAACCTTGCAAATTTCACAACCTACCCTTGTTGTGGGGTAGGCACCTTGTCTTGATGCCTGCACCCAAACGCAGCACCTCCACACTGCTATGGCATTACACCGGTGAGAGATACTCCTAGAAAGGTAAGCTCAGGATCTCTGCTGATACAGTTCTGCTGATGAGTGGGTGGACAGAGCAGGAAGTATGAGGGCAACACTTGCTGCAGATGTTTTCAACATATCTTTGATTATCTACTTCTAATTAAACAGATGAAACACAGAGTAAAAGGCTGGGAGGCATCAGGAAATATTAATTAATTATAAATACTCCAGGGCCAGATTATTCATCTGTCTCAGCTACACAGCCTTTTCACAGGGAGAAACCTTGTGTGGAATTGCCCAAATCATCTACCTTAAATATCTCGAGGTGACAGCTGAAGAGTTGCCCTCCCCTATAACCTTACACGAACACAGCTCCTACAGGTAGACACTGATGACAGCCTTCAATGGAAAGCACGCTGCTGATGAAAATTAGGGGAACAGCCACCCTTTGGACTTTTAAAGTAGCTATCTCAGGTAACAGGAGCTACAGTACCACGGAGTAGTTGATCCCCCTGATCAGAAGCACAAACTAAGCTGTGGGAGCTCTGTGCTGTTTGCAGCACTCCATACGGCACTTCCACCATGCGCGGCCCCTTGTAGCGGGATCTGCAGTCAGTCCCTGCCTGATGTCCTTGCTCACAAGCGTGCTGGTGAAGCTCATGGCAGCTTTTTGCAAGCAGAAGCAGGCTCTAGAGACTGCATACAGTCATCACAGATTGGCACCCAGTGTTGCATCTCCTCATGAGCTGAGCCCATGGGGACGGTCAGTGAGATGACAGGCCTTAACAGTCTCCTTCCCTTCTGCTCCATGCTACCGTATCTGCCCACTCTTCTGGATGTTCTTGTAGTATGAGAGATCACGTATACACAAACGCATATGTGTTACAACAAAATGGCAAGTCCTTAGAAAAAGGCAGACGGACGACATCACTGCAGAAGATGGAATCAGGTTGATGTGAAGTTGCATTTTTTGGAGGAAGAAACCCAAGTCCCAAATTCTGATCCCAAATTCTTGCCGGTCTCTCTAAGGGGAAAGGCTGTGTGAGGGGGAGCGCAGGGGCTGGAGGGAAGTGCTGTCTGCAAGCCCTTCGGCTCGCTGGTTGTTAGAAACAAGATGTCAGCAACAAGTGGACTATCCCTAGCCAAGTCAGAGATGTAAATTGACTTGCCCTTGTCTAAGATGTGGTTACCCAAGCACCACACCCTAGGGTAAGTGCAGGCAGCCCCAAAGGGCAGCCCCTCTCCCTCCTGCTCCAGGCAGTGATCTCCTCTTTGCAGTCACACTCCTTCCTGCACGAATGCTAGCGGGGGCATATGGTGGAAGAACTGAAGCTTAGCCTGCTCTTGAATTCCCGACAGCAATTTAAGATGGTTTGCTACCAGACATAGATGTCCCCAGCTTGCTTAAAACTTGAATCCAGTGCTCAAGCTCTGGCTGTCTGGGCCAGGGCATGATTCATCAGCCCGCACTGCCCCACATCATTGTAAAAGTGACGAGGACATTGGTGTTCAGTAGGGTCACAGAATCACAGAATGGTAGGGGTTGGAAGGGACCTCTGTGGGTCATCT